TCGACACTAAAGAAAGCACTTTTTTTTTCAATTCCCACCTGGAGAGTGACCTTTCGTCAATACAGGAAGATTTGTTGGCCACTCTTTCAGAAGCACCATATTAGGTGAGCCAACGTTGCTCCCACAGTAAGGACAGATAGCACAGAGAATGAAAGAGCATCCATGCCTTGTCCGGGATTCGAATCCAGAATCTTTCTATGCAAGTCCAGTTCCCTGATCCCTACGCAGTCAGGTCTTAAAAAAAGTACTTGTTCATAGAACTGAAACTATAGTATGATAATTTTGTACTTTCATTTGAGCTTTACACACGTTTTTTGCTTTAGTCTTCATAGCACAAATTATTACCCTTTCCCTTGTTGTGTTTAAAATCAGACAAAAAAAGTGTGCTTTTCTGAATTAACTTTTTTTTTTCCAATGGGATTGTCAAAAATTACTTTTCACAGAATTTCGCTTTTTTACCAGTAGGAGCAAAATACAGTGCTCTTACTTAAAATACTTCTTAAATTATGCTCTTTTTTTCGTCATTATAGCTATAGCAGCGTTATCCTTTAGTATTTTTTTATGTCAAGTTTTTATTAACTCGCTTTCATCTTTGAAATAATTGAATCTTGCTGTCCAAATTTCAACTCCTTTCCGATTATCTCGATCAGCGGTTTCAAAAGCCCTGGGGCTGTTCCGAGGAAGAATTAAAGGACAAGATTTTTTTAAGCAAGAGTTGGATTTTTTTTTTTAAGAACTAGTCACGATTTTTTAAACCTTTAATTATATTTAAACACAATCGATAATCCATAGTTAAGTTAGTACTTCGGTTGCATTTTACAGAATTATTGAAAGTAAAAATGCCAATAAAAAAGAGGGGGTACTATACTGAATAAATTATGAAAAGATCATACATATACCTGTATAAAAAATTGCATTTGTATTTCTTACTTTTTAAATCTCTGTTTTTTCTCGCTTTTTATATCAAAACAAAATTTAATATGCTTCTCTAACAACTAATGCTTGTGGCGGTTTAAATTTCAACGAAAACCAATATAAAATTATTCTATAAATTTTCAGTTTATGATACAGCTCGAGGACTACATATTGAACTGTCGAACATAAAACCGAATTTAAAATTATTAATAATAAAACGACGAAAGAATGTCATTCCTCTTATTAAGGATTGGTTCATCTGTTATTGGTTCAAACGTTCGCAATGGGATACCTTTAAGTGACGTAGTGTAGGTATCTCAATCCTGATTGGTTGTTGAAACGTGGCATTTGTTTGCGTTCTTTCCATTCTATTTCAAGTAAGCCAAGTCCGTGAAGAATCAATTCTCGTGAGTGACACATTCTAAATTCTTTCACAAAGATTCTTTCTCAAAGATTTCAATTCTTTCACTATATATTTACGCAGAGACTTAATACAAAGACAGTCACGAAACAACATGGAAAAACTAATTACGTATCGAAATTTTCAGGTACGCGAAACAAAAATATATCACGGCTATATTATATTAAATTTCAACTAATATATATTATATTATATTTCAACTATATTATATTTCAACTAATTCGATGTGCGATAAGGTTCTGTATTTCATTAACTTATCGTTAATTAACGTTTTAACTTTTGTACAGAGACTTAGCTCAACTTTAATACGCCATTTTACTGATAAAGATAAGCTAGCGCTGATGTCATAGGACACAGGTGAGGGTATGGGAAGTTATCATCATGAAGCAGCAAGTACGCAATTGTTTTCATATACTTTATTTATAAAGTGGCAGAAAGGAGAATGGTCATTTTATGTCCCATGGCCAGAAAAAAAATATGGAACCGCTGATCTAGATCTCACAAATATCTACTGAAGCTGGTGACTGTGTTTGTTTAAATTGTTTCTTGACCGCTACAAGCAACATTTATTGCCAAAGGCAATTTTTCATTAATCGAAATTTAAAACATTATCAAAATTTAAGGCTCTAATCTCAAATTGAGTTACGTGCCTGCGAAGACAATTGATTCTTAAATCCAAAATTTACCGGCTTTTTGTCCCCAATTGATTACTCTGAGCCATTTTGGCTCAAGGGTTAGAGCGTTCGCATTCCAATGAGGTGACCCCGGTTCGTATCCCAGCGATGTCTGGTAGATACAAATTCCGTATCCGTCTTGTGCGAACCACAGTGCTGACGTTAAAAAATAACCTCATTGGTAGACGGATCACGGGTTAGAATCAGATTAACCGCAGGAGGTTTTTGTCCTGACGACCTAATTTTTTGGGTTTACGACTGCTAATGTTCAACTCCGTAGCCTTCTGATTTTGAACCCGATCCAGGAGACAAGGGAACTCCTGGATCATATTCGCCTGGACTTTGTGATGGAACCCACCCGCATTTGCGTTACATGGAGAGGAAAACCACGAACATCTCCCATGGTTAGCTTAACGGCAAGGGGACTCTAAACCATGATCCGTCTACCACTGAGGTTATTTTTTCACGTCAGCACTGTGGTTCGCACAAGACGGATACGGAATTTGTATCTACCAGACATCGCTGGGATACGAACCCGGTTCACCTCATTGGAATGCGAACGCTCTATCTCTCCAATTAAAATAATTAACGAGTTTAAAGTTTCAGTGTTTCGAAATGGTGATTGGATGCCCCCCTCTTTTGCTGGATGTCTGAATCCATTAACTTCTATTCGCCCCTCCCCCACTCTACACACCACTGAAATTGATACAAACCTACTTATTTCACTTTAGGCGTGACAGAAATAAAATTATTTTCTCCTTGTTAGTGCATCTCAAAAACTTTGCTTTTCGAAAGAAAAAAAAGTTTTCGTTCATTCCCCACATTTAGCAAAGTTTCGTTCTTGCAAATGAACTGAGTTCATTATCTCATCCTTTTGTAACCATACATTATATTGGGGACGGAAAAAAAAGGGATAACTGGGTGAAAAAAAATGTCTGATCTCATCAAAAAGACAGACGGTAGAAGGAAAGGACAAGGGGGAGGAAAACCATTATTCTTTACTTCAATAAAACGATGTCTCGGATTAAATGACTTCTTGTTATACTGTGTGTGTGTGTGTGTGTGTATGGAAAACTTGTACCCCATCATATCTTGTGCTATATCAAAACAAGATAAAAATAGAAAGGAAAACCTATAATAAGCTTCATCAAAGGATGCCCTTTACCAATCATCGTAAGAGTGAAAAAAAGGCGAAAAGGTAAGTAAAAGAATTTTTTTTTTGTCTTTATTTTTCTTTCCTCTGCAGGTCTAAGAAACTAATCGCACTTTTTGATTCCCACAACTTTTTTTTCTTTTTTCTATTTTATAACAAATTTACAATAATGGGGTCCTGATGATGCAATCTTTACAAAAAAACTTCTTTACGAAATTATAAGAAAAGAAAACCCGGTATATGCATAAATATAAAATGAGATGCTTTAGAACAGTTATGAAACATTAAATTGCCTGCAATGAATGCGTAAAAATGCGCTGTTCCGAAAGTATAGGTATTTCATCGATTTATCTACTGTTTAGAAATAAACCCTTCGTTAATAGACTCTTCTGGGTTACGTCATTTTCACATTCTAAACATTTTTTTCCTTTCCTCCGTTACCAACGTTTCCTCAAATCTTGCTTTTCTCCTCGCCAGTACTGTTTAGTAAGCAGTTAGAATATATGAGCGTGGAAAAAAAGAAAGATTTGTCGAAACCATGGTATCAGATAGGGGGAAAGTGTGGAGAGAGGGGAAATCGCGTAACCTTCAAACGCTTATTCTGCTTAGAAAGATTATATATATATA